TTTAGCAATTTGAATTTGTATGGATGTCAAAAGAAAATATAGTTCTTACTTGAAAATACTTAAAATACTTTAAAAAATGAGATTATGCATGTATTTAAAGCGTTGTTCTAGTTAAAGCTTAATGCATTATAAATTTAGAAGTTTAAAATTAAAACTTGTTTTAAAAAAGAAATTGAGCATTTGAAATTGCTCTTTGACATTGTGATATGAATAAATCTCATTCAAATAAAGTTTGAGTTTATTGAGTTAAATTTTTAAGTTGAAATAGCTGAACTTTTATAGTTATTAGTATTAGTGAGATCTTCTATTTATATATCTTGCTAACATATTTTAGCATCTTTATGTTTTCAAGACTGATAAGAATGCTGTTTCCTTGGGAAAAATTCAGAGAAATTTTGTTACAGCTTCCACATTAAACATTTTTTCCTTTGGCTTTGAAGTACTTTAAAATTCATGAGATTTCCATTGATTTTATTAGCAACTTCTAGAAAGCCACTTTTTGAAAAAACACTTTTCAAACAATTTATTGTGATAAACGAATCACTGGTAATGAGTATACTATTAAATAATAGTGTTAACAAAGTAGGGGAATAATACACTCAACGTTTTCTAAATGATTCCTTGCTGCCCTGAATGACTTATTTATGTCTAATGGCATGTAATTTACTTATAGGGGATACTAATTTATTCCTTAGAAAGTAATGATATTTAGAAAAAAATGGCAAAAATGCTTCATAATAAGCCAAATTTGAATTTTCAAGAAACCCTAATTTTCAGTTGTGCTAACTTAAGTATTTCTAGGTGCTTTATAGGTACTTTACTATTGTAAGCTTACTTTAGATGCCTCTTTGGAAGTTGGTAGGAACATGTCATACCTAATGTAAATTTTTTATTAATCATTATTTAATTAGCCATTTTGTGAATTATCCAGGCCATTTTACATCTATTAAGGTTTTCATGTTTTCACTTATGTCCACAATTCTATCAAAAAATTAAAAGGAATCAAAGGCAATAGAAATAGAAGCCAAAATTTCTATCCTTCTATTACTACTACTTGTTACTTAAAGGTCTGTTTATTTAGAAATTGAAATGGTTTTGAATCTGTTATTTTTTACTGTAACATTGCCAAATGACTATATTATAGTTACTTCACCTGTGAGAAAAATATAATTAGCAAGGTGTTGAAATGAAGAAATGTGTGAAAAAAAGTTAAAGTGAGCTCTGTGATAAGGAAGATAGGTGGGAGTCCAGATTCTTGGGGCTGTCCCCTTCCAGACCAGGTTAATGGCATATTATTCTCTTAAAAACTTGTTTTGCTTGCATGGTGTGAGTTGGTGGTCTGGGTCCTTTTAATTAAGAATCCATGATAAAATTAGATTTCTTGTTGATCATCTTATGCTACAGGACTGAGGATTCATTGGTAAAGAACCACTAACCTGTCCTCTCACCCCCAGGGTGTGAACACTGAAAAGGATTAAGGCCCACTGTAGGGAAGCTAACATTGAAGCCTGTACTGCCCTTTCCCCTGTTCTTTTCAGTTAAATAGAAGATTTTTAGTTCCCATGACTATCAATCTGGTGCTTTTCACAAGCACCAAATTCTTTTCAGAAAATTAAGATGACTTATTTTTAGAAATCCACTGGCCTAGAATACTGAAAGATGATTTTTTGGTATTTTGTGTTGACAGGCCCTGTATGTACTAATTTTTTTCTGATGCATCTTAGTTTGCTTTAATTTATATTGAATTTGATGATTGATACAAACTTTTAAAAATCAAGAACAGATTTTTATATGGTTAGGTTTTCTTGTCTAGTAGTAATTAATAGAGTTTGGCAGTGTTGAATCTTATATTTCTTTAGAAATAGCTATCTAACAACCCTGTGGACATAAACTCTTAACTTTTATTTCTAGATGACTGCAATTATAAGGTGCTTTCTTTTCATGTTGAAAGGCTTTTAAATAGCTTTTATAAATGCTGAGGTGTCATATATTTTTTCAGTATTTGCTAAATTGGTATTGTATTTAAGCTTGAAAATATATTTTGATTTTTTTAGCTAAAATAATTGCAGAGTATTAAACATTCTTGGTAGTTAAAGCTTTTTTTTTTTTTTCCATTTAATTTGAGCTTTTGTTGTTACTAACAAATAATTTGTGGCACAGTTTCTTTCTTTCTTTCTTTCTTTTTTTCTCTTTCCTTTTTTAAATGACTGCTAGAATCTATATACTTGTCACCTTAGTGTCCTAGAAATGTTCCACTTAGATCAAGGGTTCCTTTCTGGTTTTGTATGTTCTCACCTGCTCCTCACTGTAAATCATTGAGATGTCAAGTGCAATGATTAATTAAGCTGCACGTGCAAGTGCTTTTTTTTCACCTGTCAAGCAGGAAAGAAGTCTTATCGCAAGATTAGATGCTGCTAATTCACAGCTTTTTCTCCAGACTGTCAAGTATGTAGAAATATTTTATATTTAGATGCTTATTCAGAATATTGCATATCAGGGTTTGTTTTGTTTTGAGTTCTTAAATATTGTAAGATACAATTATTATACCAAACCCTATCATTAAACTCCTAATTAGAGGCGAAGAGTAAATTCAGAATTCCTACATAAATATTTTGGAATTTTAGGTTTATACTTTGTAATTACCTTTTATCCAAAAACTGCTAGTTGACTTCAGTTACTTAAAGTAACTATTTTAAAGTATCTAAATTGATTTTGTATGTACCCTGGGATCCATTTCTAATGAGATCCATTCTTATTATAATATAGCATAGGTTTAAATTTGTGATGAAATCTGATGATGGTAACTACACTTTTTTCTTTGAGTAATGAATATTTGCTGAATGTAATGTTAAGCTTTTACTTTTTATATGTTGATGTAAAACCTTGGACTTGGATAGCTTGTTCTCCCCACCCTAGTTATTTCATTCTCCACCCCCCTTTTTAAACATCAGTAAAAGTAAAACCTCAAATTGTATAGTAATCTTAATCTATTATTAAAAAGTCCTAGAAAGGAAGATTACAAGGTAGATTCAGGTTTTGAATCGGTTTTGCCATTGGTTTAGCAGCGGGTGGGCAGGCAGATGCCTGCTCAGAGTAGAACCTATTGCCATTTTTCACCATTGATAGAGTAGCCTTTCAGAGTCAATGAGCTCTGTCAATGTGAGCTTGTCAAGGCTACAACTTCATAGACCTGAGAGGCGGTTTGAGAGGTCAGCCCTTTTCAGGTTCGCTGTGATGCAAATGAACTTTAATGCTTAAACAACTATTGGAATTTTTATGTCTGCTCCTTGTTCTTTTTTCTTCACAAAGTCATTGACGAGACATTCAGTGCTTTTTAAATTGGAAGTTGCATTGTGCTAAAGACCTAGTACAGATTTACGGAGGGCTGAAAGCAGTTAGATCATGTTCTTTTCATGGTGCGATTAGAATCAAATCGATTTCCCTACAGCCTTCAGCATTCAGATGGCAATTTTAACAAAGCTTGGGGGCTAGACAAGGGACAAAACGACTGAACTGAATGTTAATTACACTCTGCAGCCTTATTTTCTTTTGATTTGGGGCTGACTGGCAACTAAATTAACAAAAAGTGTGACCATAACTGCTGCCCTATTTTCATTTAAAAGGAGAGCTGCCTCTAAAAGGCTATCTTTACAAAGAAACAAGTGAGGTCTGCTGATCATTGTTAACAAGGGCACTTTTTTTCCTTTAAAATTCTTGCCCCCCAAAAAAAAACTTCAAAAAAAGTAATGTGATAATTTAGTCGTTGGCATATTATTGCTCAGAGTTAGGGGATTTTCCGATTTTTATGACATAAGCTTGGAAAATGGTAATAGCGGGTAATTCATTGGTAGTTATGAATTATAATTGGCACCTATGTGACTAGTGTATCTTTAGTATGTACAACATGCTAAAAGGTAGTATGGTAACTTAGATTACAGTAGATACTTTAAAGAAATATTAACCATTTGTTATGTAACATTAAACTATTCAAAACCAGCTTGATCCTAACAATTTTTCACCTCATCCTTGCTTGACCAGCAAGTTTTCATATTTGATTATTAGTACTCATTTAGTTGTGCACGTTAATAGCGCTAGATGCTTTTTTCCTTCCCCTGCAAGGAAGCTGCAGCTGCACCAAGTTGCAGTTGATTCTTGTGGCAACACTGTCTGTCCCTTTTGCACCTGCAGCTGTGTCAGTCTCATCCTAACACCTGGCGTCATGAATTATCCTCTCTTTTATTCATACTTCCAGGCAAGACCCATTTTATGCTGCATAAGATACTGCAAAAATCAAGTGTACTGAAACATAAATTTCTCAGTTGATTCCTTTAACAGTAGTATTGATTTAAGCATTTCAGTATCATTTTTGTTGGTTTGTATATAATATTTTGCCTCTGAAAATCCTTATCTGTGGAATAATTAATAAACAGGCTTTTAAATTTGGGTGTTATTTTTAAGTATGATGTGAGAATTTGTTTTGATAGCTAATTGATTTTTTTATCTATTAATGTTTAATTATTTTCTTTTTGATTTTACCCTAAAGTCATTTGTATTTTGTTAACTAATATTTAAATAATTAGTTTTAAAATATGTATGAAGGAACTTTTATCACTAAGTACTGCAAAAATATTTTTGAAAGAAATGGGGATTAAAATTTATATCATTTGGTAGATGACATTAACTTTTTATTTATTCTTATTTTTATTTTTTTGACATTAGCTTTTTAAAAGACTTTGATAGTTTCATATCAGAGGCTGATAAGTTTGAAACAGTTAAAAAAAGATACAGTGCTGAAGAATAAAACCATATCTTTATTAAAATAGAGTACTGTTTCTGTTCAGGGTACTACTTAGTACTAAAATGTTGAAAGTGTTACAGACCACCATGTACTCACTCAGTCACTGTCTTCTACCTCTCTCCTTTTCACACAAAAAACAGCTGCAAAACAAAGTTTTTCTAAAACCAGTCAAGAGTAAACTTTTTTCTCATTTGTCTTCCAGACACGAAGATCGATTGAGAAGTTATTAGAATGGGAAAACAATAGGTTATACCACAAGGTGAGTACCACAGGGAGCAGCTTCGTACTGTTGGGGTCTGAATTGCACAGTATGGAAACAGATGCTTTTGTTGAACTAAAAATATGAAAGGTGGACAAATGGGTTAGTCTGTATGCTGCAATAAAATAGAGCTCATTTTTCTTCTTTTACTCTCCTACTTGTCTAGCTGTGCTTGCACTGGAGACTGAGCAAAAGGAAATGTGAAACGAATAACATGATGGAATATGTAAGTTAAAGGGCTGTTTTGTGAGTTTCTCTATTAAATGATCATTTATTTTGCTTCTGATCTTATTCTTTCCATGATTATTAATCAGCAAAGGTGTCAGGAGCTTAATCTCCTGAGCGCAGGGATTTTCTACGGTTCACAGATGCATGGTTTCATGTGCAAGACTGATTTATAAAGTTATGAATGACTTGAAAACAAGGCTTCACTGTGTTCTGAAAAATAATAAATTAATTGCCAAGATAAAATAGCCTGAACATGTGTTGATGGAGTGTGAAATTTTAGATGCTGTATAAAGAATAACCACAACTTTGGTTACGCAGCAAGTCAGATATGGCTTTTTTATATAATGCTAATCAAGTTTCCAAGTATGGAAGAAAACCTTTCAGCCAAGCCGTTGGAGCTTAAGAAACCTTTAGCCTTTATATATTTTAACTGCCCATACTTCAGTGGCCTTTAAAGAATCTTTCAAAATGTTATTAGAATATTGTTTTGTAAAAATTATCTTAAAGCAGGAGAGGAGAGGTTGCTCATCCTGTATTTTTTAAAAGATATCTAATTGGCATATGTATACAATGAATTTTAGAGTTTATTCAGTATGGGGTTTAATTTACTGACTCCTTGATTTACTTGAACAATTTTTCTCCTTTCAAGTTCAGAAGACTGTAGAAAATCATGAATTTTTATTTATTCTCCCCTGAGCTTGGGTGTTTTATTTTAAATATGGAAAGGTTATTATATTAAAAGAAAAAGATCTGTGGAAGAGTTAATTGTTGAAAATGAAAGTCATATTCTTTGTGAAGTAACCAGACACACTTCTGGCAGATTTTGTCTATTCTCTGAAACAATATAGCCATCATAGATAGTATATGTATGTGTGTGCATGTGTGTGAGAGTGTGTGTGAACAAGAGATTGATTAAAACAGTGCTTAAATAGTTGGAAATTATCATAAAATCATTTTTCTCTGTAGCATTTTCCCTTTCTTTCATTATCATACAGTCAAATCCCATTTCTAGCCTTGAACATAAAAGACATCTTAAAAATGTCTTTTTTCATAGAATAGCTCTATTCACTGAATCAAAGAATGTAGATTTTATCATTATCTATTATATCAAACATGTTAATTTATGATGATGAGAAAGATACTTGATACTTTTTTTTATTAAGAAATGCTAGTCTAGTGCTTTCATCATAGATGGTAAGAGTTTATATATTTTGGGGGGAGGGATGATTTAAAGGATTTTGTGAAAAAATACTTGCTATATTTATGAACCGAAATACTAACACATTTCTAAATTTACTTGGGAAAGGAAAACATGAAAGTTATTTCCAGTGCTGTTATTTCCAGATAGAACTATAAGAACGTCATTCATTCATAAAATGCACTCAAATATTCATGTTTATTTTTATGACATTCTTTTATTAACTAAAAATAAAATAATTTAACCATCCAGAACATTCTGAACTATGTACTTTGTAAAATAGTGTAATTTATCATGAATTTTTAGATAAACACTTTTCCTAAAGCCATATTATTTCGTATACCATCATAGAAGATACCCAAAACAGTTGTTCAAAGGAAAAATATAGGGGTAGCTGGCTGGCTCAGTCCGTGGAGCATGTGACAGGATTGTGGGTTCGAGCCCCATGTTGGGTATAAAGATTACTTAAAAATACAATTTTTTTAAAGGAAAAATATATAAAAATTGCTACAAAAATGTGTTTTTTTCTAAGTTTTCTCAGAGTATGTATATTTGTGATAGTTGCTTGGGAGAATAACATAATTTCAAAAACTCCTTAAATAATTTTCAAAAGTTAAGATAGCAAAATAGTAAGAAGAAGAGTGCTTCATTTTTCTAATGAATTGGGGCCCTTTTTACCACATATTTCTCTTTGACCTCAACTTTTCTTTAACTTACAGAAATTTCATTTGTTAGTTAAAAGAAAATGATTCTCCTTGATTATATTTTGAATATTGGGGACAATCTAGAAAAAATACCAACTTGATACCAACTTTTCTTTTATTCAGATACAGTAGAATAGTGTGATTTAGAAGACGTAAGACAAGTGGCCAGTTTCTATGTGTGGCTTCTTTCTGTGTGTGAAATGAGGTTGTAGGATATATTCTTTAAAAACGAATGATAATTCAAATATAGTCAAAGGTAGCCTTTATTTTGCATTAGATGGTAAACACTGTAAAATGTGATGCCTACACCTAAGAACTGAAATTTATGAAACTGTCTGATGAGGACATGTTTGAAATATAGAAGTGTTTATTGAATGTTGACTCATAAGTAGTTTAAACATCAAATCAGGTAGTTTAATCATCAAATTTTAGAGCTGCAATGAATTTTGTCATCTAGTCCAATCCCTTTATTTATTATATGAGGAAACTGAGAAACAGGAATCTAGCTCAAATAAAAAGCTATAGGAAACCAGTGAACATTTTGTTGGCAAATGCCAGGTCAGAAGAGTGGCAAAGGGTGGCACCGAAGGCTTAGTACAGGATAACTAAAGTAGGAGAGAAGTATTTTTGAGCTGTGTGTAGAAGAGCCTTCTTTATTGAGACAGATCAAAAGTCAGGAGAATTGAAGAGTGAAAATGAAAGTTTCTGGCTCATTTGGCTAAATGTAGAAGAGTGTCCAAACCTGGAGGTTATATGAGGACAAGTTTCTGAAAGAAAAATGAGGAGTTCACCAAACTTGGAAGCTGTTCAAATAATGTTTTGTTTAGCATCAGTTTCATACAGAGTTGGAACAAGGGAAAGAATTGATTGTCGTTTAAGGCAACTCACATTTGGAATAAAAATTAGCTCTGGTCACCTTGTGTTTTTCTGTGTTAATGTGTTTTGTTTTTATTGGTTTTCCTTTAGTTTCATAGTAAAAGGTCCTTTGGAACAAATTTAGTCTTTAATATTGCTGACCTAAGAAGAAAAGAACTTTTTTCAAAAATTAAAGAGATAAAGGACCCTTTATCAAGAGATTACGTATCATGGTAGGGTAAAGTGAGAGCAAATCTAGAACCCAAAGACCCATGGAATTGGGTGAGATAAAAAGGAGGAAGGCCAAAGAAATAAACATTAGGTTGGTTGTAACCACATAGTGCAGTAGAAAGGGCAAGGCTTTGGAGTTAAGGTAGTCCTGTGTTCAAATATTGACCCCACAGTGCGTGGTGTTATATTTACTTGGATCATCAGTATCCTCATCTGTAAAATGAGGGTAATAATACTTGCCTCATGAAGAAGCTCTTAGGATTAAAAAGATATACAGAATATGAGACACTTGGTATGTAGTGAGTGCTTAAGAAATGCTGGCTCTGGCTCCCTTCGTCATTTACCCCCGCATGCATTCTCCTTCAGGGGCACTGTCAAAACTGCTGTAAGTGATGGCATAGAATGGAAATTTGTTTAAGATAAAAATTTATTTAAATCTTTTTAAAACTTTTTTTTCTCCCTCTACAGGTCATCCTCATAGAATTTTTACCAAAGACACCGATTTTTCGACCAGATTAGCATTTACTTTATTTATAGAGACTTTCCAAGTATGTTGTCTTTCCAATGGTGCCTTGCTTGGTGCTCTCCTGGTGGTGACATAACATTGGTTCTACAGAATTGTGTGGTGTTCTTTTCTGTTTTTGTTTTTTTTAAATAACCGCATGTTCTAAGTGTGCATTTTTGTCAAACTTTGCAAATTATTTCATACAGATGTTTAATACTTAAGTTATTGTGCTCTTTTCTGTTATGTATTCTGATTTTCAAGGATTACTTTTTTTGTATTATCGAAAAAATACATTTGAAATTAGCATAAAAAGTGGCCAGCCTTTTTTATTTTATCACCAAGGTACACACAGTCCTTTATTTATTAATTCCATAATATAGAAGAACACTTTTGTAAGGCTCTACTTACCTATTCTAGCAAGCACACTCTTTGTATTATTTTTCTTCCTTTTAAAATTTAAAACCGTTATTATTTTAAAATAGTAAGTTTTCTTTAATAGCTTTTTGGAACCTAACATATCCTTTCCCGTACAATTCCTAATGCTCTGTTTACAGCAGAAATATCTGTAACATTATGAAGACCTATCAAAAATTTTTGACAGTATTTCTGTCTTCAGAGGTAGTAAGGCAGGATTAAATTATTTTTATTAGAATAGACAAATAATGAATGGTATGCATGCACCTAATGGTTACTAGAGCTCAGGATCACAAAATATAGTAGCATTACAATCTGTGTATATTTTTGATCAAGATGATAATAATGGCCTTACTTGCATTATTTTTTATTGTTTATCAAATCTTATATAGCAAAGTATGGAAATACTCCTTTTAAAAATTTCTAAGGAAAATATTTCTCCCAGTCTAACATAATTGTAGAATGGATGTATGTTTCTGAAAGGTTTTTGAAAGAAAGCAAAAGTTGTAGAATTAAAAGTAAGCTGGTGTTTAATACCCCATTGATATTTAGAAGAGATTATTACTAAGAAATGGAGGACGTATTTAGTACTGTTTTTATCCAGTAGTTCGCTTTCAGTCCAGTTATGTATACTTTTTTGATTGAAAATGTGACATATAAGTTTAATCAGATTAGCTTGTTTCTTTTAAATATATACAAACATACATACTTTTTCCTTCCTTTTGTTGTACATATCTCCATGCATTTTAAAACTTTCTAAATTTCTGAATGGCCTATGTGTAAATTTTTGTTTTTATAGACCTGAAATTATAAAAGTTTTAATGTGTGTCAAGAACTTGTTCCATACAACTGTGGTATCTAGCAATAATGTGAATAACTTTTGAAATTATATAAACTATGCTTACTAATTTGTATTAAGAATTGGTACCACTATACAGTATCTTTTCTCCTTGTATTAAATCTTTTAAATACCAGTTTCATTAATTTATATACCTGTATTTTTTAAAAGTATTTCTCTGTACTCCTCCAAAGTACTGTAATTCTATATAAATTTGAATAGTTGGATTCTAGTATCTTAAATCCTATATCCTGTATTGGACATCAGGAACTATCTTAAAAACTAGGGTGGTTTTTTTTTTTTCACCTGAGTATTATTTGTTTCCATTGCTCCCCAAAACACTTAACAACTTGAATTTATAAACCACTTTTCCTATGAAGAGCTCAAAGTACAAATAATTCAGACCCCTCTCGCTTTATTGACCTTGTGTCCAGGGTATGTCCTACCACCTTAAAGTAGTAGAACTAAAAGGTAATGCTATTACAAAAACTAGTATTCCTATATGGTTTCAGTGTGAAAAATTACTGTCTGGAGAAGGCTAAAATCTGCCTCAGGATTCAGAAAGAGCAGAAAAATATAATTCTGTAGGCTCTGCAACACAGTGTTCTATATCTAAAATTCTGTAAATTTGTAGAGTACCATATTGATCAGCTTTATAGGAAGAACTGTACCTATTTCGACATAATTTTTTTCTCCTGTTACTAGTTTTCTGGAAATTTTAATTTAAAAATTATTCCCATAAGAATATTTTAACCTAAGATAATTTTCACAGTTGATAGTATTTAGTTATAGGAATCCCTTTAAAGCTTTTCTGATTTGAGAGGCATGGCAGTTGCTTTAAGGTCCTGAGAAATGTGCACTCTTACATTTCCAATGTGTATATAGAAAAGAACCGTGAATGCTTAATATGTGGCATTACCATTAGCCAGTTATGCCTTGAGCAGTTAGATTTCCATGTTTGGGTTTTTATTAGTAGCCCCCAGTAAGCCCGCTGGCTTATTCTTTCTTGATTCATGAATCTAAGTGCCCATGTTGCTGGAAATTAGAAATGTCAGCGATGCCTATGTTGTATGAACATTAGTCCAAAGGAAGTACTTAAAATGATAATTGTTCTTCAGTTCCTGTTTTCTAACTTAAAGTTTGTGAGACATGAACCATAGGTACTTTTAAAACTGGCCAAGAAAAGGTATCATTGGCGGAAAATCTAGCATATAGATTTTGCATAGGCTAAGTGAATAACTTACGATCTTTTATATATTACTGGCATTTTACAGGTAGTCCATCATTCTTGTGTAGAAACATTTACTTTTCCAAAGCTTATTATATTTTAATACACTACTATTATATATCTGAGTTAAAAAATATACTCTAGAACCTAAAGGCTATAAGTAAAATTCAAGTGACATGTTTAGCTTCTAAGGCAGATGCTGGCCCTGCTCACAAGAGGGTCACCTTACCTATATAAGGTCATCAGATGCTTTATTAAGACTCTTTAATGGCTAGGTTCCATTCATTTGAAATATAAACATGTAATTTTGGCCTAAAATCAAGAAGTGTTCAAACCTTTAATAGTAAGCAATAATTTCCTTTCCTTATTAGAAAAACTACTTTTATAATTGAACATTTTAAATCAGGAAGAACTACAACTTTCTCCATGGCTGTGTTTTCAGTGTTATTTGTAGACAACCTCTGATTGCTTCTTTATATTAGTAGACACAGGCAAACTATATAAAACTTTGACAACATTCCATATCAATCTTGGGTTATAAAAGAATGATATTAATAGTAACATGTACAGCTGGATCCACAGTTGCATGCGTTCAAACTACAGTAGTCTTACATAACATTATGTACATAGACTTTTAACTTTTATGGTATTCTGCTTCACAATTATAACGTTTAGCTGCATGCCTGATTTTCACTGTAAATATTTGGTTTGGTTCAATATTGGTCAGTAGTACTAAATCAGAAGTACAATCTGTTTAAAACTGTCTTTGACTGAATTCCAACATCTAGTCCTGGAACCCTCTTTCCTTCTCCTATCCTGCTGAAGCAGTGTGGGTCCTTTTGCTGCCCTCCTGATGTCCAGAGTCTTCATCCAGATACAGATATAGTTCACCATTGCCTTTTGTTTTCCTTCCCCAGAGCTCGCAGTACAAATGGTAATTCTTTTGCATTCTTAGCTAGGTATTTAGAAGGCCAATTAAAGTGAGTTAGTCACATTAAGTGATTAATGGGTGACTCTCCATTCTGCTAAGGTGGTACTTGCATTTTAAAAGTTTCTAAACTCAAATTTCCCATTGGAACAGTGGTGCAATTGATATTTTCCTTTTCAACAGACCCTATTGGTCCAGACTTCGCAGGGAAAGAATAATAGGATGGTTGCATGTGAGGCTTCTCAAACCACCATTTCTGAAGAAAGCTGATTTATATCTACTATTATGGCAGAAAGAATAGGCTCAAGGCCAATCCTAAACCAAATAAACCAAACTATTAATTATCCCATAATAGTTGTGTTAAATACACTTTCAGATATAATAACCAACTTTATGTTATTTTTAGGAACATGCCTTTTATATAAGTTGAGATGTGAAGGTGATTTGTCTTTAAAACTTGAGTTATTATCTTGTTCTGTACTTTTACAAAGATGTTTAGATAGTAATGTAAGAGAAACCTAAATATTGTTTATATTATTAGTCATAATTCTGTGTACTAGGGAGCAATATTCCCCTTCCTCCCACAATGGTAAATTGAACAACAGAGGTTGTTTGTAGCCTTAATAGGCAATACTGAAAATAGAAATTCAGAATGCTAATCCTGATTTTGAAGTTATTTCTGATGTTCTGAGAAATCATCAAATTACTTGGCTTCTTTGCATTTATCTTTTTCCACAAAAGGAAGATACTGTGACTACCTCATATTTTAAGTCATTTATTTTGCTGTTATTTACTAAGTCATATATAAAAGTAGAAATGAATAAGTAGCTTTTTTTTGACTTACTTACAGAGTCAGCAGAAACCTGAGTTATTTGCATTTAAAATTAAAGAGAGTACTCCCTATGTATGTATATATTTATAGTAATGATTTGCATGTTTAAAAATCACATAGACATTAAGTACAATACTTGAGAAAAGTTTCTTTCTAATAAGACCCTTTAAGATGTAGTTACATTTCAGATACTTAAGCAAAATCATGCCGCCCCCCCCCCGCTTTAAATAGCATCTCCTCTACTTCATAAACATGGTGCTCTGAATTTGAGAGTTGACTGCTTTTTTCTCTTTATGAGGGATAGATAGTGTATCGCTTTCTCAGCTCTTTATCTCAGAAATATTTCAGTAAACTATCCATACCAGGCATTCTTAATTTTGGCAGATAAGCCAAATTGTATGTATTTGTTTTTAAAGAAAGTCAGCCAGCCTTTAAGAGAAGACAAGTAACGGATCAGTGTTTTGGCTACTCTACTGGACCATAATACATTCTCAAACTGCAGATTTCCTCTCCTGTTGGTTCGTAATTTAGTATAACTGGTTCTAGTTCTTTCTTGACATAAATTCTGTATGGATTTAAAATGTTCAAGAAGGAACGAACATTCTGTTCCCTCAAGAAACCTTTTGCACTAATAAAAGACCACCTCCTTCTTTCTCTTCTAGTAGCAGCTTATTTAATTAGGTAATTACAATAATCTCATTGCGTTGCCATGAAGTCTTCATAAACAGGAGTTTGTTTTAACTGAAGTTATCAAAGCTCTTTTAAAGTCTCTCTTTCTTTTTACATTTGTTGGAGCTAATGAATGACATTTTGTCCTCTCAGAAGAGTTAAGCATTAGAAGCTGGCAGTGGAAGCAAGGTAGACCTGATTGGAAAGCAGTGTGCTGAAATCTGTTGGCTGAGAGAAGTAACTATATTGTTTCCCTACACTTTGGTTTACGAGGGGCAAAATTATGCAATGGTGGGGAATTGCACAGAGCTTTATGCTTCCTTTTATATATTCTTTATGTATTACAATGGAACTTGTTTTTTTTTTTTAAAGAAAAAATACTGTTCTAGATAGAGTTTTCCTCTGCTATTGTCCTTCGAGAAGATAACGGGAGGCTACCTTGAATATTCTTTTATTTATCTTTTATAATGTAAGTTTGACAGTTTTTTAAAAAAACACTAAATAAAGAATTTTAGGAATTTATTCCTCTATCCTTAATAAGCATGGAAAGTTTTCAAATAAAATAATCAGAAACTTATGGTAGGGGAGCAGTTATGCAGACCCAAGATCAGGGTCCCTATTATGTTTTCAGGTATTTCTAGTTACATTCAGGTAAGTCTAGTAACATTTTAAAAAATGAAAATAACTTCTATAAAATATATAGTTGAATCTTAAAAGGTATGTATCATATTTTTCTTTCATTATTAAGAAATTGATACCATTGTCAAACATCTGTTTGTATTAAAACAAGATGGGGGGTTTAGATAAAAATTTGTTGGCCTTCATAATTGTGAAGAAATATGTAGATGGGTTATATTTAAAGTGGTTTGGTTTTTGGTCCCATGTTGGTTGCAGTATATTTAGTCTTATAAAATCAAGTCCTAATTGACAGGGTTTTTCTAGTAAACAAATGGATTTCTAATTTGAGCTAGGGGACTTTTTTTTTTTTTACTTGCTTGCTTTGGCTAGTTGAGTTTTTGTTGTTAAGTGAGTTGGTTGTAATGCGTGACTTCAATATGTGATTCTGTGCTTGAAACTAAAATGTGGGCTAATTCACAGCATTTGGTCTTTAAAGACTATACTACATTAAATAAAATTTTAAGCCACTTTAGGTGAAGTTGGAAAAGAGAGCCTGGTGCTTAGAGATCAAATCACTTTAAAAGAAATTGGCCAAACTAACGATGTCTGTTGAAATGACCGTATGAATGAATACACACACAAATACTTCTTCTGTAGATATGATCTTTACAAATATCTGGGAATAAAATAATTGACATTATGAATATGAGTTTAGGAACCATGCATAATAAAGAAACTTTTGTATTTATGTGTTCATAAACGTGCACATAGAAAAAAATAGAGAAAAGGTACAACTTATATATTATCTTTTTTCGCCAAAGATCTTATTTAAGTTGTTTAAAAGGCAATACAGCTTTTAAAATAGGGTTCTCAAT